CAGAAGGTCACTAAAGAAGTAGACGAGGAGGTGGCCTTTGAGTTTGCGCTGGTGAAGAGTGGTGACCTACCTTCTCTCGGTATGACAAGTCAGTCCTTTATTCAGGTGATTCAGTGATGAAAGACCCTTCTGCTGCATTTGTAATGTCCCAGATTTTTCTGGATTTTTTGCATGCCACGCGGGCCCCGAGGGTTTTTTAAGTCATTTTCTCAAGTCGAGAGTTTTAGAAACACATTTTTAATTATTCTAAGAATGTTAGAATTTACGGGATCTTTTTTAGAATTTTTTCAGGAGTCGAAACGATTTTCGGGCTCGGGAACCTCTCCCAATTTTGCCATTTATGTTAAAGGGCATTATAGACATTCTACTCATATATACATATACATGTATCTATATATTAGAGGAGATATTTTAGGGATAAGCATGACATTGTAATAGAAGAGTGAGGGCAATGTAGTAAGTTGCTTAAAGTTAGAATCCACAATTTGTTGACATGTGGCACCATTTAGATCATAAGGTAAAAAGGAAAACCAAGCCACCTCCCCTTATTTTTCCCTATTTTGGCCAACCTCCTTCCTCTCTCTAACTTTCTCATTCTTTTTTTATATCTATATACACCATATATGTTCCTATATTTCAAACTATGATTTGATGAAGCTAGGGTGTGAATTTGAAGAAACCATAAAAGGGAAAGTGGAAGAGCTTAACAAGGTCTATTTTTTGTGACCACCATTGCTAGGGTTTGGAGGAATTTCAAAATTTAGGGTTGCTAAAGGCTTGTTTGGCTAACATCCTTAAGATATGGATTTCTAAGTCTCACATCATTTGGTCTTTTGTGAGTATATTGTTGTAAGAGCATGCTAAAGTATATGCATATAATGATGTTCTATGCATGTGGTATAACTTTCAAGAATGAATTTCATGTCAAAGTTAGTCAAGAAGTGTAAATTTGCATGCCTAAATGATTGAATGTGCCTTTATGTGCTTACATGACTATATGATGAAATTTATAAGCCTTGACATGCCATGATTGTGATAATTGCTATGTATGTTATCATGTATATGCTCCATTATAGGGACTGTGGCTAAATTGAATATAATACATTGTGTAATACCACTAATTTTTAAAGGATTTAATTGGATTTATTTATTTATTTTATTACAATTTAATTGATTATGTGACTATGTGAATTATGTGATTTAACTGTGTGCATTTAATTAATTAATTATGTGAAATTACGTATTTAATTGTGTGAAATTATTTGTCATTATTTGCTAGGTTTAAATGTTTACTTTATTTTGTTTTTATTTTATTTTAAATGATGAATTTGGATAGTAGTAATGGACCAACCAAATGGGTCTCATGAACTACTTGGATAGAAAGCCTAGATGGGTAAGGATTATGACCTATAGACATTAGTTATATGTATATAACTGAAACTATATCTATTAATAATAATAATAATAATAATAATAATAATAATAGTACTATATATACTCTTTAATATCCATATATATATATATATATATATATATATATATATATACGTGTATAACTAATATAGTTAGTAATATAATTACTATGACTATTATATGTATTTTCCTTTTCTTTTCTATTAAGTCAGAAGATTTAGTTGGAGTAGGATCATGATTAGGTTATTTAGGTAGTCTATATATATGATATATAGAATTGTTGAGGAGTTTTTACGTGTATTTAGAGGCAGACAGATGGAGAGATTTAAAGAGAGAAACCGAGAGTTTCAGAGATAGTTTGTGAGCGAAGGCCAAGAAAGTAAGGCCAAACCCAATGAAGGATATGAGGGTTGTTCGTGAGATAGGACTCGAGCAGTAGAGGGCAGTGAAGGCAACCCGAAGGTCGCCGAAAAACAGAGAGAAGGAGATCCGAGTTTTCCCATAAGGCAAATTCTTGTTCTACTCTTCTCCATTGGCTTCGTGTTCAATACATACCTAAGGCAATTCCAGGATGATTAAACAAAATTAATGAACTTCTTTTCATGCTAAAATGGGACTAGAACAATGTAGGATTATAAATATATGGGTTTGTATATATCTTGTATGATTTGATGATTTGATGCATGTATTTTGTTTTAATTTATTTTAATCATGTTTAAAGGCTTAAAATTTATTATTGGAACACTTTTGAACGTAGAATCAAAGTTTAGGACCCTTATCAATGGAGGTTGGACGAAAAACAGAGGACTGAAACGAAGAAGATGATTTGCAGTCAGAAAAGTTGACTTAGTTGGTTAGGGTTTTGGATTATTGGATTTTAATGCTACAGTAGAAGGTTTAAATTGATTTTTATAATCTAAATGGATATGATTAATTCCCGGAATGTATAAAATATAATAATGTGTTATAATATGAAGGATTGTGCAATTTAATTAAGATGTAGGTTAATTCCTTTTGGTGTGAGTTAACTGCATGGTATTTAGAATTGTTTATTGTGCTTAAATAAATGCAAATGATATTTGTATGATTATTTTCATGTTTATTTTTGGATTATCTAATGTATGTGTGTGTGTGTGTGTGTATATATATATATATATGCTTGCATCATTTATTGGATTGTGAACCATTGTTAGGATATGGTTACGGACTTCTGCACCATTGTCAGGATATAGAGGCATATTATGGATAGGCGGACTAATAAGTTTAGTCTCATTCTTCGTGTCAGGTTACGGATTCTTATGTAGATGACATGCCATTGAAAGACTATGGCGGATAGTTTATTTTGTGTTTTGGATAGGATCTGGATTTATATATATGGATAAGTGCCACAATATGAGCTTAAGGTCTCATGATTAGTGGTTAGGAAACGTATATTGCCTTGGGGATGAATAACTGCATATAGTGGATTATTGTGTGCCCTGGTAGATAATGGTACTTATGCCTACCATGTGTGCATTTTGCATGTTGCCTATTATCTGATTAAGTCCGCCCTATAGTCCAGTGAAAGTCCTTTAGTATGTATCTATGTATATATACGGACTACGTAGTTATTGTGCGAGTTGACTAGGTCGTATTAGTATATCAGGTCTCCGTTTGGGTTGTAATAGAAAGGACTTGTTCGTGGGCCTGATGAGCGCTGAATATTGCATATTTGATCCCTTAAACGTGCGTATATTAAGACCCTAAGTGATATTTCTATCCAGTTTTAGATTAATTTTAGTTTATTTGCTTTTGTAGGTACTTTCCTAAAGAAAAAAAGGATAAAATCGAGATTCTGGAGACTTAAAGACTGATATCGAGGTTTACAGAGTTGTCCCCGATCATTTGAAGCAAGCTTGGAGTCAAATTGGTGTTTCTGGAGAAGTTCAAGTGCTAAAGCTCGAGCACAAAGTTCCTAACTCTAGCACAAAGTTCATTGAAGCAAGAAAAGCAACTAAGGCAAAAAGGCTCGAGCAGAGATTTTCTTGCTCGAGCAGAAGTCCAAGGTAATCGAGCCTTTGGAAAGAGGTTTAAGCATAAACTCCCTCGAAAGATGAAAAGATACCTCGGAAGTTCCAAGTTGCCAAAGCTCGAGCAGAATGCAAAATACTCAAGCATCATCCAAAAAGCTTGAGCATAATGTAAAAGGCTCGAGCACCCTAGCCAAGGTGATCGAGCACCCTAAAGAAGAAGTCCAGAAATATTCTAAGTGCTGATGAAAAAGACGCTTCGGAAATAAAGTGAAGAAAAATGGCTAAGTATAAAATTCTTGCTCGAGCATTTACTAAAAGGCTCGAGCACCAGCCAAAACGCTCGAGCACAATGTTTTCTACTCGAGCCTTTTCCCTTTAGTCAGACTTCTCAATTGTGGGATTAATTCTAATTAAGTCCTAATAAGTCCCAGATGGGCCCAGATGACCCCAGAAGATCTAAAGCCCATCCAACCATTGATAGAATTGAGTTGCTTCTATAAAAGGATGCACAAAGCCACAAAAAAGCACTCTCGTTTCACAACAACACAGATGATATCTTCCATCGTCATGAGTAGCTAAATCCTCTCTTAGGGCATTGATGTAACCCAAATACGATTACCATGGTTTGAGTGTTCTATACTTTGGGATTTTAATTGTTTATGTATTTTGATTGCATGATTTTGAGCAATTGACTTAGATCTTCTAAGCAATTGGAATTTTAATGAAATAAATTACTTTTTGAGAAATTAATACCTTGTCTTAGATTTGATTTTTCTAAAACCGAATTCAACGTATTCTTACTGTGTGAGATTGACAGTTAAGGGCTTCTCGGATAATAAGAATAGAGATCATGCAATGGTGTTCAAACGTTTTTTGTGAATGAATGTTTTCATAGTTTATTCCTAGGAAAGACGAATTATACTACAACATTGGTTAGAAGTAGGTAGGTAGATAATTCGTGTCAACCGAAGATAGGTTATTACTAACTGAAATTCATGATTCATCTTTGTTTAAATTAAATTAAACGAATGTTATTGAGTTTAATTCCGAATTATACATAAGTGTTGAAATCTCAAGGTTGAACAATTGACTATAATATGAGATTCGTGGTGAAGTCAATCCTTAAGATCTTCTCTCTCTAGTCTCAATCTTTTAATTAGTTTAATTTTGTTTATATTATTGAATCACAACCCGCAACAAACAAATTCTTCTCCTAAATTAAAACAGTAATTATGGGAATTTTAATAAAATTTGTACATGACGTCATCACATTCCGTCCTTCACTTTAATTGAAGGGAAATGCGAATAAATTCTTAAACCAAAATAGAAATACGTATAATTGTGACAAACCAGATAGAAAGTTGGTGTAAATTACCCTATTTTTTACTCATAGTCATAATAAGGTATCCATATGGACCGCAAAAGAAGCATGAAAGAGAAGAAAAGAAAAAGAAATTTTGCTTTAAAAAGCCAGTTTTTAGAAAGTAATCTTGTCTTGTAATATTTTTGACAAAACGCTACATGGAAATCTTTCGAACCTACTTGAACCCAACTGTCTTTTAACCTTTATAATACTAATAAAGCTCAAACAAATCCAATGTTGCTTAGAAAGTCCTAAAAGCGCACAAGCAATCTCGTATTGGACAGCAAACAACATTCCAGAGGAGGGAGGACAGGGAGCATAGCAAGCCCATTAATCAATTTAATGAAAAAAAACCCTAGTAAAAAGACTTGAGTGATCCTGGAGAGAGAGAGAGAGAGAAAAAAAAAAAAAAGAGAGGGGAAAGTGCAAAGAAACTCAGAGATCCTGGAGAGAGAGAGAGGGAGAGAGAGAGAGAGGGGAAAGTGCAAAGAAACTCAGAGATCTTATACGAAGTTTCCCCGTTTTGTTGTGTAAAAAACCCCTCTACTCATAGGGAGGGAGAGAGAGAGAGAGAGGCAGAGAGATAGAGGGAGAACTAGCTAGAAAGAAACCCCCTCACACACACACACACACACACACACATAAACACTTGTGTATTATTCCTTATGGAGAGTTTGTCTTGCCGTTGAGTCTAATGCGTACATCAATGAAAAACCCTAATCTTAATCTGGGATATTAGCGGAGTCGTCGATGCATGTCTCTGGATTTTCTCTGGATCTGAATTGGTTTATTCAGTTCATCGTCACAGCTTTTATCTTTGCCCTCGGAGTACTTCACCTGGTGAAGAACACGGCTTCCAAGTATTTTGTGGTCGACGCCAATTTTGAGTCTTCTTATTCCGACCCTGACGCTGCCCGGAATTTGCCCGGCGTTATCGCAATGGGTGACGCCTGCGTTGTTTGCGGCAATTTCACAAAGAAGCATTGCTCCGGATGCAAACGGGTCCGATATTGGTACGTATCTCTTCACTTTCTCACTATCTATATCTGATTGCACACATCTTCCTTCTTCAAGTTTTTTGGACTTTCTCTTTTACCTTTTACTTTTCTTCTACTTTCATCACTTATCATCGTCTCATTGATTTATAAAACATTAATTAATGAAAAAATTTCAGTTCTTGCTTGTTCCTTAATGCGTGTGTGTTTTTTCTTGTTGTACTACTGTTATGCTTGTTCATATGTTTGTTCAAATGGTTTTCTAGGGCCTTTCTCAATGTTGAGATGATTTAATTGTGTGTAAATGTTATTGGGTGTAGAGTTAGATGAAGATGGGAGGCAGTTGGTGAAATTGGTTGGCATATATTGTATAGATTGGGTTAGCAGTGTACTAATACTAATTCAATGGAATATGCTCCTCTGCGGTGGAATGGTTGACTTGTTTTGTTCTGGAATCGTGATCCACCAAAATAGCTGCTATATGGGATATATGGGAGGAAGTAGTGAGGAAGTGGAAAATTTGTTTTGTTTTGTTTTGTTTTGTTTTTCTTTTTGAAGCTATCAAGGCTTTAATACAGGGGTGGTGTGTCATGGTTGATGTTGACTATCTTTCACTGCTGATAAACATTACAGTTTATTTTCTCCAAGGTGGCATTAATTTGGGGGTATTGACGTTGTTATAATGAATCCTAATTTTGATGCCTAGTTAGAAAGGCAACATATTTGACGGTGGGGTTCCTAATTAACAACCCCATCCAAATACCAATCAAACCAAATTGGAATATTGAAATGTTGAGCAGAAATTATCTTTTTTATTTTAAACATGTAACGAGAAAATTCAATCCAAAATTATTTAATCTTTGCCAAGGGACCTCAAAAACATTTGATACATAAGCTTCCAAGATAATAAGATGTGAAAAATTTAGTTCCCAACAAAGAATCATTGAGCGATGAAGAAGAATGTGGGATTATGAGTGTCATTTATTTATAATTGATTTTATTGTATCTCATTCTACTCATTTAGTGCTGAAGAATTAAAGCAAAAAAGTACCATAGTTGTTGAAGGTGTGACTAGGCTCTAAAAAAGCCTTAGTCTAGTCAAGGCTGAGTCGAAGCGGCTCAACCTATTACACTTCAGACTCTTTCAGTCAGGCTCATGTAAAGCCCCCGGGCTTGTACTTTTTAGTACATTTCTGGCTCAAAAAAATGTGTGCCTTCATATTATTTTCTTTTTCTTTTTATATAAAAATGATTTTTTTTTATTATTATAATATAATATGTTTTTAAAATTTACATGATTGTTGTTTTTTATTGTTGCTCATTTTGAATGGTATTTAATTTAGTTAATGCGTATGCATTTTGAAAGGATTTATGCACATTGATTTATTGATTTTATTATGCCATTCATTTTAAAAATATTTTGACTAATTATGTTGCGTATCTTAAATTGTTCCAAATGTACATTGATTTATTTGCAAACTAAATAGATATATGTGTATTGATTAGCTAATCCATGGAATTAATAGGGTGAAACATTTCTTTATTTTGATCTTCACACTAGTCTTATTGCATATATTAATTTTTTTTCCCTAAACCTACTATTAAAATTAATTTGTATCATACATCATACATGCTTCTCGTATCAGGCTCACGCCTTATGTTGTGCCTTGCGCTTAGCCTCTAGGAGGCCTTGGAACCTTATTACGTTTTCAGCCTTTGATAACTATTAAAAAGCTCATTTGTATACAATATTGCAAGTTTGCAACTCATACTCAGTGTTACAAAGAAATTCTTGCTGCTCCAAATATCATTTTTTCGAGTTCCTGTTAGGCATAGAATGCTAGTGGACCAAGGCAAGCTAAGCTCAAGACTTTTCAGGCTCAGCTCAAGTTCACAACGAGTTAAAAAATTATGTTGGAGCTCGACTTGGGTGTGTTGGTGAGCTGTCTCTTTGAGCTAGTGAAACATGTTGTATTTTATTATTTATTTATTTAATTAGTATAGAACTTTTCAAAAATGAGTCGACTTAAAAGCATAAGCAATTCAGATATGTACATTTCAGTTCAGTTCAGTATAGACTTTATGGGACATAGATATGTATTTAATTTAGATGGTTTCTTAAACTTGGTTTCCACGAACTTCACATGTTCACACTGGTTACCTATGAAGTACCAACACAGCAAGAAGGGCTGCCGTGCCAGTGTTGGACACGTGTCCGACAGGGACACCCGTGTCCCAGCCTTGGACACGTGTCCGACACTGGGTAGGAGTGTCCTTTTTATTTATTTATTATGCCGGACACGCTGGAGGACATGCTTTTCGGATTTTTTGAAAAGAAAAAGGAGATGATGAAAGATATATACATATATATGTGTGTTTGTGTGTGATTCAAAGTAGATCTATAAAAAAAAAAACACCAATTGAGATTCAAAGTTTCAGATCGGATGGCTCAAGCATGGAACAAACCGGCCTCTTGTCTTCATCATCCTCCCCTCCAAGACCACCGAATAATCAGCACCTGGTGCCGCCATGAATTTCCATGGTTGCTGATTCTATTCTCTGAAGTGAAGCCCTAGTATTAGTCGATGGCTAGCTGTGATTTAGCTTGGGCTTCTAAGCTTTTTGGGCCGTGACTTTGCTTTTGGTTTGGTCTCCAACCCTCTTTCAGCTCGTGGACCTTTAATTGTTCTTTAATATGATGGGATATTTGGTGGGCCTAAAGTTTATATTTATGAATATAGATTAGAAATTGAGTAAAAATAAAAACAATTATATATATATATATATAAATATATATAGTATTATTTTATTACCGTATCCTTGCCTTGTCCGTTTCCTATTTTTTTAAAATTTTCCGTATCGCCGTATCCGTGTCATATCGTACCCGTGCCCCATGTCCGTGTCCATGCTTCATAGCTGGTTACTGTACAAATGAAATTGCTCATGTCACTATACTGTTAATATTTTTGATGAAGATGACTGTAAAATTGGTAGCCAAGATTTAGATGTTCAAAGTATGATAAAAGCTATTTCTACTGTTGATTTTTCTCATGGGAACTGAGAGTTTATGTGGTTCCTATTACTGACATCCACCTCCAGTCGTTTTGTTGGTAAGCAGTAGTTTTATGCTTTTTTGCTGCTTAGTTCTCATTCTTTTGTGCTAGAGTTTGATCTTTTATTAACTTATTACTGGTTTCATGCACGTCTGGTGGGAGGTTACCATCTATATATTCTATTGTAACTTAAATGTTTTGCCTTCCTTTATTTACCAGCTCAGAAGCATGCCAATCATCTCATTGGAGATCTGGGCATAACAAAAAGTGCAAGGACTTGCAATTATCTGGCAGGGTAAAAACGGTGCAGTCTGCATCTATGCAGTGCGGACGTAAATCTTCCCCTGCGGTTGCACTAGTTCCTGCAAGTGGAGCCACTAAGACACTAAAGCTGTCGAAAGAGGTAAAGGGCTGCCTTTTGGACATTGCATTTTTTATATTTTGGTAAATCTTCGACTTGAATTATACTAGTATATGCATTCATATTTTCAGATTCTTTTTCCGTACGAGGATTTTGTGGAACTTTTCAACTGGGACAAAGCAGGATTTACTCCTTGTGGTCTTTTAAATTGTGGAAACAGGTTATGTTTACTGTTCCGCTGATTTGATATAAAATAATTATTGGATACTTTAATTGGCTTGGGAGGTTCAGATTCATTTATCACACATGCTTATGTTGTAAGTACTGGAGTTCTAAATCACGTTTTATATTTTGTTCTGGCTTTTGTGCAGCTGCTTTGCCAATGTTGTTCTACAATGTCTTGCATACACTCGGCCACTTGTTGCCTACTTGTTGGGAAAAGGCCATCGTAGAGAATGTAAATTTATAGATCAGAACTATTCATGGGTTAATGTTTGTTTCGAGCAAATGGTCAAACAATTCTTCGTTCTCTTGTTTGTTGTTTCTTTTTTCTCAGGCAGACGGAATGATTGGTGCTTCCTATGTGAACTTCAAACACATATTGAAAGAGCCAGTGAAAGTCGGCATCCCTTTTCACCAATCAATATTCTCTCACGGTTACCTAACATAGGTGGCAATCTTGGTTATGGAAAACAGGAGGATGCCCATGAGTTCATGAGGTTCTTGTTGCTTTCTTTCAACTTGGTTTAATTTAGTTTCTCTAGTGACGTCATCCCACTGAATCATCTATAAAGACTATTTCATCACAGACTTCATGTGTATGTGTTATGACAAGTGATAGTTCAATAAGGTAAAACTTACAATCATATTATAGGTTTGCAATCGATACAATGCAACTAGTGTGCCTGGATGAATTTGGTGGAGAAAAGGCCCTTCATCCTAGCTCTCAAGAGACAACCCTTATTCAGCATATATTTGGTGGTCACCTCCAATCTCAGGTACCTTCCTGTTTGAAGCTATCTTACTTTTTTTAGTGTACTTGAATAACTGGCATTAAGATAGAGCCATAGAGGTGCTTTGGTCATACTGATGAGTGGCTGCATGGGAAACCTGACTGACAAGTAATCTATTCTTATGATTTGTTTATTTCCATTAAGCATGATTTGGCTTGCATGAAACACAATTAGCAATGTGATTTGGATTTTTCTGGTTGCGGAATGTTTTGCATATGCCTCCTTGGGCTCCTGAACCACAGTTTTCATTTGGATTATGCTTTAGCTTTCCAAAAGGTTGAAGACCCTTGTGGTCTCCATGTAGTTCAATATCTTAATATAATTTTTTGTCTTCAAGTCTTTCCTCAATGTGTTTGTTTCTCTCAGGTGATTTGTACAAAATGCAATAATATTTCAAATCAGTATGAAAATATGATGGATTTAACTGTTGAAATTCAAGGGGATGCTGCATCTTTAGAGGAATGCTTAGACCAGTTCACGATCAGAGAGAGGCTCCATGGAGATAATATGTATAAATGTGATGGGTACGTCGTGCTTCTTTTATCCTTATCCAACATTTTTTTTTCCCTGAAAATTTTCCTTTTGTAACTTTAGAAGTACATTATGTGGTTATTATGCACTTTGTATTGTTTATTATTATTATTATTAAATTTTTTATTTTTATTTTTTTTGATAAGTAACACTTGTGTTGTTGGCTTGTGCTGTTGTGTTGTATGCCTTGTACTTATTATTAACATTGCATTCATGCAAGAAAAACTTTTGGCTTTAGTCTTTTGAATAATCAGTGTACTCAGGCTTCTTCTAAGTGATCTTTAAGACGGCGGCAGAATTCTTTTTCAATAGCCAGGAAACTTGGTCCAACTAGACAGTCATACCCATACGGAACCCGGTTTAACAATTGCATTTTATCATATTAGTATTTAACCATCTTATGAATATTTTTGGTTTAGATATGAATTGAAAATTATTGAAGTCAAAATATGAAAAAAAAAAAAAAAAGTACTCAATTTCTTAGGGCTCATTACTTATTCTTTTACTTAGAAGAAAAAGAGAAGCAGAAGGTATCAGGCTTATGTGTTAGTGTTTGAGAATTGTATTGTAGAAGAGCTTTTATTGTCAGAAAAGTTTCTCAAGCTTTTTCATATAGAAATAACTATTTTTCCCTTAGATGGAGGATTTTTTTTTTTTTTTTTTTTTTTAACTGTTTGGCAAAATAAAGTAGTTACCCTATGTTTTGTACAACACATTTTTAAACACATCACACACGTTCCATATCCCACGGTCAGATGTAGATTGTTGCTTCTTTCTCTTCTGGAGTACTTTTTTCATTTGGGTTAAAGGCTCTCTAATGATCATTTCTACATTCTATCTCCTCGTGTTCAGAATGTGCACTAATTCCCCCCGACAACATTATCATTAATGGTATGACTGTACAAAGGAGGCATTGTTCCAGAAGTAGGTGACCAAGCCCTGGCTCCATTGGTTGTGACATCTCGAAACAACTCATCTAGCTTAAATGAATGCTTTTAGACGTTTCACACGAAGTTTTGGCGCACCTGGAAACTTCTGCATTTTCTAATTTAAAAGTCAGAAAAGAAAAATTATCATTAAATTTAGGGTAAATTACACTGACCTCCCTTTCAATTGCCAAAATAACAGGAACCTGCCCTCTGTTTTTAAAAATAACACTGAACTCCCTTGTCAGTGATGGTTTTGTATCACTGACCTCCCCTGCCGGTACGATCACCGTGGATTTTGATGATGTCATGTGAAGTAAAAAATTAAAATTCAATTTTGCCCTTAGGACATCTCAAAAGACATTATTTTCAATTACTTATAAAAAAAAAAAAAAAAGAAAAAAAAAAAAGAAGACATTGTTTTCAATTAAATAACAATAATAGTACATGGATATAATAGTCATTTCACCATTTTCATTAACTGACAAAACTGACAGGGGAGGTCAGTGTTATTTTTAAAAAAAGAGGGGAGGTCCCTGTTATTTTGGCAATCTACAGGGAGGTAAGTGTAATTTACCCTTAAAATTATTGTTAAAAAATGAAAATATACACACACACATATACATACTTGTAACTATGTCTCCCGCCATTCACCCAAAGCAACTATAATTTGCGTTTCAAGATCCCACCCAAGTCTCTCCTCTTACTAATGCCTAATTGAGCTGCCATTCTTTTCTTATTCTTACATTGTCCCAATGATTTTTCAGTTGTATCCTTCCATAATTTTTTTTGGTGGTATTATTAAAATTCTCAATAAAATTCTTCCTCTCTTTGTTCAAGTGTGTTCCATTTCTTTACCAGCTCTCACTTGTTCTACTGCAAGATCAACAAAAATCTCGTGTTCCCTTGAGTCCTATACTGCTTTCGTTTCAACTTTTTCTCCCTCCAAAAAAAAATAAAAAAAAAAACTTTTTCTACCTCCGTTTCCATTTAATTTACAATATCAAAGGGATAACTATTAAGTGATCAAAATACCCTGTAAATGCAATGAACCACAAAAACTAAATACGAAGTCCACACATAAAAGAACATAAAATAAAACATAACACAACTAAGCATTTGATATTGTGTAGAAAGGTTGAGAAAAATAAATAAATAATAATGGCTATTAGTAATTTAGGCTTGTGGTTGACATGACAGTGAATAAAAAAATGATATCCAGATAAAAATTATTCAGAGTTTTTTTTTTTTTTTTTCTCCCTGAATTTGGGAAGTTTTTTTGATATAAAATAAAGCATTAAGGTACAAAAAGATAGTGGTCTATGACTTGTCAAAAAAGAAAAGAAAAAGATAGTGGTCTATGACCAAGAGACCACAAGAAGTAAAAATGGAAGACAGAAACCTTGTCCAGGACTAGGAAAGAAAGCAATGAAATAAAAGAAACAGCATTGATGAAAATCAGAAAATATCACTTAAGTCTTCTAGAGAGATGCCTGATGAGGTTAGACCTTCAAAACAAGCTTCTCTAGCTATATTTTCAGCTGAAGATGATGATCCACCATATAGCATCTGATTTCTGTGATTCCATTAACACCAAATGATGGAGGTATAAAATCTTCTCGACTCCTTACTCCTCAGAGAAGAATCAGCACAGTGATGAACAAACCGCATAGTGGCTGCATCCAAAGATTGTATAGTCAAAAGACCCTCCCAACCACACAAATTAACAAACCAGATCCGAACCTGTCTTGCCAACCTATATATCTAGAAGATATGCTCATTTGAGTCATCTTCCCTATAACAGTTATGACATATAGCAGTGATAGGCCCCTTCTTTGCAGATTATAAAATGACTTGTTAGCCCTTTGCAACACAAAAAAAAAACTAGTACAGATACTCTAGGTCTGCATCCATTCCAAACCAGTCTATTACAAGGCATTTTTGGTCCATGAGCTCTGCAGATTGAAAACAAAATCTCCCTTTTTGCTTAACAACCTCGTTCTCTACAGCAGCCTGATATGTGAATCTATGCAAATAGTTTTTAATCTCAGCAGGCCAGGAAGAGGGCACAGTCCATGTACCTGAGTTTCATAGAACACTAATGGTGTCTGTGTAATGAAAACCAGGAAGAAGCCTTCTGAGACCATATCTTGCTGTATAGAAACCCCATCCAACCATGGATCAGAGAAAAGTTATTGAAAGAAGAACCAATATCAACTTCGAAGTATATGTGTGGCAGTAAATCTCTCTAACTGGGAGAATTCTCTCCAAATTGCTGAGTCATGGAGTTATTTTTTATCAGCTCAATATCAATAAAATGAACCAGTTATCAAACCAAAGTCAAAAAGTTATAGCTCAATAATGAACCTGTTATCAATTTTATGTCTACAAGAAATTAAGTGGGTAGGTGCAAAAGCTAGAGAGTTTGAATGATATAAGTTATATTATACCACAAAGAAAGAAATAGAAATGGAGTTGGGATAATCATTGATAAGAATTTGAAAGATGTGATACATATTAGGAGGAAATATAGTCAATATTGTTAGCGTGTATGCACCCCAAGTAGGACTAGATAACAATATTAAAACACAATTTTGGGAACATATGGATGAATTGATGCTAGTTATATAGGAGGAGACTTTAATTGTCATGCAGGAAAAGAGCGCGGAGGATTTGAGAGTTTCTGTTTTTATCCTTGCTGTAGTCACAACTTTGTATCTTTTGCAGTTTGAAGATGTGGTATCTATAAAAGTTTATGGTTTCATAATGATATTATCACCTGCTGCATTGAATAGTGCCAGAGCAATTTATTCCATTGCTTGGTAGCATGCTCTGCATAAAGAACCCTCGATGACAGAACCCGTCACTCTGGGTGAGAGGTTGAAATAACATTGTATATGAAATACCTTTTTGAATTGAATATTTCATTTCTTTAACTATTATGTTTTCTTATTCTTTTTTGCACTGACATTGTAGTTTGTGCTTCTTGCTATTTGCCAAATAGACCTGTATCGGAGTTGGTTGAGAAAAAAGAAAAGATTAAATTATGTACATAGAAAAAGCATGAGATGATGATCTCTTTGTCCTTGAATCTGAATCTTTTACTAATACGTCTCTCATAAATTTTACTGGTGCGGAACTAACACTAATTCAACATTGACTCATTATTATTTTAGCCTTAGTGATCTATCACGTTTAAGGTAAGGTAGTTGCACTAATTTAGGAATACAATGACTATATCAGTATTTCTCATTATGCCTCAAAGTAATGTGCATTATGTGCCAGTGTATCAATCACTTTTACTGGATTATGGTGATGGTAATACTGCCTGCAGATGCAATGACTATGTTATGGCATGGAAGCGTCTTACTGTTTGGCGGGCTCCGAATATTCTTACAGTTGCATTGAAAAGGTTTCAGGTCTGTACCATGTCATTTGGTATATTTTTTTTTGATAAGTACCATGTAATTTGGTATATATTTATTTATTTACAGATTTTCTTTCAAAAGACATGGTGATTAATTTTTCCTACTTAAAATTTGAAGTATATCTTGAGTTGGTGTATAATTTTATATGCACAATGTTATATGCATGGGGTGTTTTTTTCCTTCAAATTAATGATTAAACGAGTTAAAAAATTAACTAATTGATTATTTAGATTAAATGCCTGAATCAGTATCCAACTCTTTATTATTTTTCTTTTTAATTACTGATAGTATTTGTCTACGTATCTGCAGAGTGGGAGGTTTGGGAAACTTAACAAGAGGGTGACTTTCCCCGAGACATTAGACCTTAGACCTTACATGAGTGAAGCAAGAGATGATGGTGATGACATATACAAGCTATACGCAGTTGTTGTCCATGTGGACATGTTGAACGCATCATTTTTCGGCCATTACATTTGTTATACCAAGGATCTTTGTGGAAACTGGTTCAGGATTGATGACTCTAAGGTAGAATCTCTCTCTCTCTCTCTCTCTCTCTCTCTCCACACCTCCCTTCCCAACACATGTACTTGTCCAGATACTCCTATTGTAAGATTCGGTAATCTTTTATTTTGAATTAATCATATGTTCACACCCTATGTTTGCCAAGTCATCTGATTGCACTCTGAGTGGGAGTGGAACTCTTTAACCTTAAAAAATAAAATCCCATTTGAGGACAATGGCTTGTGGATGCTTCCATTATGTCACATTATTTCTCATGCATAATACAGTCCATAAAATTTCACTTATGCTTCATAATCAGTGAACATTTTATTTGTAAACCTCCCAGTTGTATTTTAAAATATAAACATGGGTTTTGGTGATTTTTTAATTGTTAAATTTCTGAGAAAAACATAAAACGAGTAATAAGTTGTCCTTGTGAAATCCATTCACAATTTTAGCTAGTCTATCTATCCAATTTCTCCGTTTCATCGAACTTCATTCACAACTATCTCAGATTATGAGTGCACATATTTCCATTAATTTATGCACTTGATTTATCTGTTTCATGACTTTCATCTAAATTTATCCACAACTTGTCTCAGGTTACGAGTGTTGAATTGGATGATGTGCTTGTACAGGGAGCTTACATGCTCTTATATAGCAGGTAGCTGTCTTTTTACTTTCAGATGCTATTAGCTTACAGATTAATGTCTACTCTCAAATTTATTTATTTATTTATTTTTATTGCTGTGCCTCAAGGATGATCCATGAGACTAAGATCTGCTATTAGATGGTTAAAGCAGTTCTATCTAGATCCCACTAAAATTGATTAAAAAATACCTGAGGTTTGTGTATTGCTATTGTTTTTCATGTGGTTGGGTAGGTAAAAAGTTGAATGTCAAGGAGTTATGAGCAACCCAGTTTAGCACTTAGCAAGATGTGCTATAAGTTAAGCCAAACAACTTTGTCTTCATAATAGTTGTCAGTTATTGGCCTAAGAATGGATGGAAGATTTAGACGTGAAATAGTTTCGATCATCGGGAAATTACATCATCTTTTGATATATGGTTATGCCAAAGCATTTCATTTTTTAGGTCCCTATATTTGTTAGGGGCTTAAGTGGGAGAAAAAAGGAACATGAAGAAAAATAAGAAAAAAGGAAAGAAGAAAAAAGAGAAAAGAAATTGATATTTCAGTGATTACGTGGATTGGAGTTAGTGAAGGTTTTCGTTGCAGGATTTCTGAATCTGAATGGAGCTAAACTTCATTTTTTTTATTTTTTTTATTCCTAGTTGATACAAACTCCATTCTTTTTCTTTTTAACGACTTAATTTTTATTTTTGTATTTTTTGTTTAGTTACAAGTGAGTGAGCACATATTTTGAATGTCATCAGAGGTCCTTAAGGCCACTTTGGTTTCTGTATTAATGCACGAGGGACTTGTTTTGACTTCAGTTTGTGAGGAGCTTGTTCTGACTTCAAATGTGTGTGTGTGTATTTATGTATTAAATTGCATGTACATTTTAGTTGAAAGGGGATGCAGTCAGTTGTGTTTTGGTTGACATGCATGCACATCCAAACACTTCCTTTTTTCTTTTTCTTTTTTTTTTTTGTCTTTTTTTTTCTGTGTTGCACATTTATGGTTGAATAACTAATAATGTGATGGATAGTCAAACAACCATGTTTGCCTGTTGCTTTACAGGGTTTGTGCCCGTCCATCTTGTCTAAAGCCCATTGAACCTACAAGGAAAGAGAAGCAGCAGATTATGGAAATGGTGCAAGATGTAGGACCTTGCGTAGAACAACCAGCTGAATGCTTCATTACAGCAGAGTCGAGTAATAGCATTAGCATTTCTACTTCCTTGCCATCTGATGGAAGCCCACAACCAAAGCTCTCTCGCTGTGAAGAAGAGTTACCATCCATAACTAATTCTGAAAATGTAATAGAGGATCTAGATGTGACGGATTCTGGGTCAAGTTCATCCATTACAAAGGGTGTTGAACTTTATGGCAATGGACATCTTAATACAGCAGAAGAAACAGTTTTTCTTGTTGAACGTGCTCACAGACTGGTCTCTGGTGTTGTTTCTTCTTTAACTGAGATGTATACACCTGAAGCTCACTTTCTAAATAGCGAATCCCCAGCCCCTATTTCTGGTACTGAGGTTGGAGATGGAGCTGAGAGCACCTGTACCAAAGAGTTTACATTGATGGGTTCTTCAAGTGAGAGCTCTCTTTCCTCTCAGAATGGTGTCTGTGAAAAGGATGAAGCATCTCATGGTGTTTTTGTCTCTGGTTTAAGCTCAAATGAAGAAGACAAGGATGAAAAGAACCTTGTTGATTTTGAGGGTGAGCCGGAAAATGTCAAGTCTGGAAAGGGTTTGCCATCTTCCAGCACTAGAGAAGATGCAGCAAGGAAATTGTCTGGAAGAAATTCTTCTGGAGCAAAATTGCAGCCTCTGTTTCCTCCCGGTTTCCTTGTGGAGCGTGGTCAGGCTAAAGTCCTCAAGAAAGATGGGAAAGCCCCTTTAGAAGCTGGTGAATTGGCTTCTGCTTGTGGCCACAACAGTTGCAGTAATGGATTTGCCAAACCTGGCTTTCCTCATCCAAATGGTGTTGAGACAAAAGGTTTAGGGAAACCTTTTTCTGAGTGCAATTGTTCATCTACTAGTACTTCTGAGGAACAAGCTGAGAAATGTCTGAATGAGGATGAGCTTTTTCTTACTGAATCTAGTGGATCTTTTAAACTCAGCAATGGAGATTCTAATGCTATCAAAGTTTCAGACCAGAGCATTTGCAATATTAAAGGTAACCATCCATTGGTTGGAGAACCTTGATCTGTGATTGGGAGTTCCTTCAACTGAGTAAAAATGTAATCCCAACAAAGATTGGTTTACTCAAAATTTGTAGGAGGGACTATTTTTGAAATTGCATCACAGAGGCTTATGGAAAAGATGATGATTATCAAAAGAAAACACGGTCGGTCTTGGTACCCGTTTTTATTAAACGAGAAATCAATGCAGTGGTGATAAGTGCTGTTCCAATGGTAATGAAGCTCGCGGCAGGGAGCAACAGATTATTTAACCGAATGCATTGCTTTGCTAAATCTAAGAAATGTTCTTGGGTTATAGAGATTTGAATATAGGGGAGGTAGAAATAATAGAAGGCAGTGCATTTTTTTCACTTGGTAATTGTGTATATTCTTGAATGTTCCCATTTCAGGAAGTTGTTGAGTTGGGAATCGTCATCCATCCAGGGTTCCACTATTTACAGAAATCTTGGATGCTCTTGTATTACTGTTAGCTGAACTAATTTATAAGTATTGTCCAGGGAAGGAATAGAAATACATTTTTGTGAGATACACAGCTTCTTTCTTCATGAATGTCTGTCCCATTCTTGATTTCTAGTTTACATTCTCATATTTAGTCTTCATGTGAGTTAGAAACTATTATAATTGAAAACGTGACTCAGAATAGGTTTTGAATTGTGATCTTGATAACTGGACTGGAACCCGTTGATTAAGAACCCACTTGAATCGGTCTATTCGCTGACGTTTGATGAGTTCCAGAACAAGACGGGGGAATCGGTCGATTTGGAATGAATAATTTTTCCTTGAAGTGGCTGTAAAGTTAGTTCAGCACGTCTCGGTCACCTCAATTTCATATTTTAATGGGGCAGGTGCGATACCCTCTCATAATACAAATTTGCAAAGACCCAGTGGAAACGGGTCCTCGGATTTCCATCACTCAAATTGGAAAGATCTCTAGCGAAGGCTTTGGTAGCCTAGTGGCCGGTGGGCATCTTCCCCATTGGTGGTTGGTAGCCAAGTTCGAGCCTTCTCATCCACTCCGAATACCTCTATGTTATATTTTGGGCTAAATTGAACTTAAGAATCCGAAAATAGGAGGAAAAAAAATTTAAAAACTATTTTAGATTCATTTTTAATATATATATGCTGATTCAATTACTATATTTAACTTTTTAAAATCATTTTTAATAATCTCTTTTCTTGTCACTAGGTCCTTAATATATATGTCCAAACTATTTAATTCTAACTTTCTCAAATTTTCTCAGTGAAGATCAATCAGTTCCATCTTAATTAATTATTTGAGGGCCACCTTCATAACACCACTTCACTACATGAAGGCGGAGTAAACTTCGAGACATTGGGAAAAAAGAAGGCAATTAACCTCATTAATTTCAGATTCTAACCCAATTGTAGTAGTAGTTGGTATTATGTACGTACCAGACAGGCAGACTCAATCAATTTTGATTAAATGCACATTTATTGATTACAACAACCCATGTATGTTAAAGTAAACCACAGCAAACAAAGGTACAAAGAATAATTAGCATTATATATAGAGAGAGAGAGAGATAGATAATATGTACAGAGTAGACACCGTTTATTCAACAATGGCAACTCCATTAACAATCCCTCCAACTGAACCCCACTTCTTCAAGCCCCTCTTACCAGGTTTCCACCATGAACTGGTGAGTATATATTATATGATCTCTCTCTGTATATATAAACACACACACATGTATATGGATATGAAAACTTGGTACATTACTAATATGCATGCATGCATGCATTTTGGTGTCTGCAGTTGATACCCATCTCTTTCTTCAAGTACTTGAATAATGGAGAGAAGTGCGAACAGGCCCTACTGAGAAGCCGCGGTCTCGGGAAGTACTGGGCAGTGAAGGTCAAGGGACGGCGTTTGGAAGATGGTTGGACTGATTTTGCGCAAACCCATGAGTTGAGTGTGGGTGATTTCTTGGTGTTTAGGCATGAAGGAGACATGGTGTTTGATGTTACCGTGTTTAAACCAAGCGGATGTGAGAGAGAATATACGTCACTGGATATCAGTACTACTGATCATGTTGATTCATGGAAACTACTGCAAAAAAGTAATTCAGAGTCTGCAGATTCTATCAAGGACTACTTAAGTAGTGGTCAGTCGATCTGGCCATCTGAATTTTTTTATTCTCTCTTGAATCTAATGCAACAACTTCTTTCAGTTCATCATGTTAGAGTCCGTACCACATATATAACACACACATGAATTAATGCTATATATTGTCTTTTAGGGTCAGAAAAGACTTTTAATTATCCGTCCATGGCTCGTCCCAAAGCAGAAGCTTCACCTTTCACACTTGGCGATCATCCTAGTTTTGTGTCCACCCTGAGGCGTTATGGCATTGAATTTTCTATGCTAGTAAGTGTCTCAATTAGTAATTTGATGGTACCTAATTAATTAGATCTTCTTAAGATTGTGTTCCTTATATATATATATATATGTCTCATAATTAAGTTCCTTGCATATACGTGTGTGTGTGTGTGTGTGTGTATATATATGATTTAATTTTGCATGCCATTTAATAATATTATATTATTTTATGTACGCTGTAGTATATTCCTGTGAAGTTCGCAAAGCAGAATGGTCTAATAAATAGAAGTTGCGAGATGATACTGAGATGTCAACAAAGATCATGGAAGGTAACCCTGCAGAAAAAGTCGGATGGTAGTCAAGTTTATATTAGACGTGGTTGGCGTGATTTCTGCATTGCAAATGGCCTAAAGGAAGGAGACACCTTCAGGATTGAGCTCATCAACAATGGAAAAGTGCCTATCATGGACTTCCATAGTAAGTTTAATCTGTTTTAATTGCCATATATATATATATATATATATATATGTATTCGTGTGAGAGATCAATTAATGCATATATGTATGTACCTGTATATTTCTGTCAATATTAGTTGTTACCTTTTTTTCTTTATTATTATTATTATTATTTTTATTTTTATTTTTATTTTTATTTTTATTTTTTGGGTAAATAAAAATATTCATACCCAAAAGAAGAGAATTGTACAGAAAGGACAAAGCCCAAAAACAGGGCAAGAGGCCCAACTGACCCGGAGGCAAAACAAAAGAAAAGAACAAAGTCCTACAGAGCAACCACCCAGCGACCGTTGAGCCAACAACAATTTGAAAATAGATGCTGGGGCAAGGATCAAAGAAGCGAACAGATGGAGCTACTGATCCACAAAAACAGAGCTTGGAAGACTCCAATCTGCAGCCACAACCTTCCTCCAGCTGTTACAGTCAAGGAATTTGCAAGCGAGCAGATGATTCTGAACGCTGTTAAAGACGAGTCTCTGCACGGTGCTAGCGGAAGTTTGTTTATTGGAAAAGGTACGCCTGTTCGATCTGTTCCTTACCCTCCATATGAAGTAGATGACTATGCGCACACTCATAACTTGAACACGAAAACAGTACTAGACTTAGAGTTGGGGTTCCACATGGAAACAATCCAATCGGCTATAGCATGGTAATTGAAATCCCCGATGTAGTGTTGGAAAAATTGCCAACTTTCAGAGGAAATGGGCAGTTGAAGAAAAGGTGAGAATGGCTCTCAGATTGGCTAGGCAAAGAGAACAATAATTTGGAGAAATCTTTGTTGGCAAGACTCTTACTATCTCGAGCTTGAAGTCTGAGACTGAGAGCAAGCCAAGAAATAAATGATTGTCGCAGGAATGTGACTGGAAAACCAAATGGAGCTGGACCAAAGGGTAGAAGGGGATGGAGGGAGAAAAGATCTATAGGTGGTTCGAAGGTTAAACACACCAGTAGGAGAGAGAGAATCCAAATTACTATAATATGGTTAATGAATCACGATGCCATGAAGTTGCTCAGTAGATCCTATAAACCGTGACAATTTCTTTGAAGCTGCGAGGTACTCTCCACTGATTACGTCTGATAAATGACACCTTAACCAAATCATCCCATTGAGAGTTTGCAATGAGATTGTGGTCAATCCTCATATCAAGAGCTCCTAGAGGGAGCCAGAAGTCATTTCAAATAGAGATGTATTTACCATCACCTACAGTGTGCTTGATGCATGAAAGGTCTAGAAAAGGCCTCGGAGGTGGAGTAGCATCCTCCAGTTCTAACAGCTTAGCTGAGAGGGCTTAAGTATCCAGAAGCTTTTATTTTTTATGAGGTTTTCCTGCACCCAATCAAGCCAATTAGATGGCTTTCTCTTTGAATAGGTTCCAAATGTGCCTTAGCATAGAAATCCTATTCAGGGTTTGTAATGTCTCGGATTTTTTTCCAAACTTTTTATTTTATTTATTTTTTTCATGCCTCATTTTGCATGCCACGTGGGTCATGAGGGTCATTCGGAACATTTTCATGACTTCGGGAGTTTTGGGAATGTATTTTAATTATTTTAAACATACTATAAATTACGGGATCATCTTTAGAATTTTCGGGGTCGGGACCGACTTGTGTGCGCGGAATTCTTCCCGGTTTTCCATTTGCACTTATCATTTATTTGGCATTTTATATATAGATGTGGATGCATATATGGTAAGATATTTTGAGGGCTTGGTTGTCTTTGCAATGACATATAATGGGGCAAATGGGTAACTTTGGCACCAAAGAACCACCATTTGACAAGTGGCCAAATGAAGGCCACATTTTCATTTTGAAGTCTAGCCAACCCCCTTTTTTTTCTTCTCATTTCGGCTAGTTGTTTCTATCTCTCTCCAATTTCCTCTCTCTCTCTCTCTCTCTCTCTATATACATTAAGCTTTAAGTTCATTTTTGGGAGCTTTAGGGTGAGATTTGAAAGAAGACAAAGAAGACAAATTTGTTCTACTCGACTGAGGGTTACGTTTTGACACCAATCTTGCACCCATTTAGAGGGATTTCGGATTTGGGATAGCTTAAGGGTTTGTTTGGCTTGCACACTTTTGAGGTAGGGTTGTTTAATGCATTATATTTTGCCTTTCATTGAGTTACCTTGTCTTAATTTCATGTTGAGTATGTCCTAAATTGATGAATAAAATGAAGAAGGTGCTAGTGTGTTTTGTATGTGAAAATTCATATTATTTGGATAGTGTACATTTCTACTGTGTAGAGCCCTTTCAGTCGATGCCTGGTTCTTGTTGCCTTCCCCTGTGTTGTTTTGCCTCCCTTCTTCTTATTCTTCAGCAATCCAATAACCTTATCCTGTACTATGAGACTTAGAAAAATGTTTCATTCATGAGAATGACTGTTTTACCCTCGGGTGACCTCGGGTCGGGTTAGGACCCGGTTAATGATCCGAACCCTCGGGTTACAGGGTTGCCCAATTAGGTAAACCAATGCCACCAAAATCCTTTGGTTTACAAACATCAACCCAAGAAACCTTGGCACCAGTAGCTTTAAAATCCACGCCTGACCATATAAACCTCCTTAGAATATTATCAAGTTGGTTAATAAACACCTTTGGAAGAATGAAGAGCTAGAATAAACATCTTATAATATTATCAAGGAAGTTAAGAACTTGAAAAGATAGTTTCTCGTAGGGTTTAGAATTCTAAGCTTGATCACCATAGGGAAGTGATATGAGATACCTTGAGGAAGAATTTGCCATGAGGGAGCAATATTTTTTATGATACTATCCACATTGGTTTCCTGGACTTGGGTTCCCAAGATAGCCATCAATGGGAGCTTAGAGTCATAAATAAGCTTCCTTATTTCTTTATATTTAACTGGGGAATTAAGACCCCTGATTTTCGATGCAGCTGTGACAATCATTGGGAAATGACTTGTACAAGTAGGCTAGGGAAGCCTAAAATAGGCATGTTAGGGTTCTTGTTTCCTTTTCTTCTTCTTTTTTTTTTTTTTTTTCCTTTGTTAGGAATTTTCTTGCTATCAACATTGTCCACCTAAGACTCCTCACCAATAGATGACATGGAAGTGTTATTGGAATTGAGATGGCTGCCAAAGCTGGCATTGAAAGAGGCAGAGCCCTCATCAATATGGTGGTGTTGATTTTTTTGCAGGAGGAGGAGTGTTCATCATGCCTTGGCTCGTTAATGGGCATGGGGTTGGTATCATTAATTGTTTCTGTAGTATTGTTGATTGTGGTAGAATTAACAACAGTAGGTTTGCAGTTCTCAAGGTTAGACTGTGGAAAAATTTGTGTAGGTTTGGGGGTAGTGATTGTCGCATAAGAAGAAACATATTTGATGGTTTGGCTACAGGTTTTGTTTAGTTCAGGTTGGGTTGAATTGGCAAGAAAAGGGTGACTAGCTTGGTTTGGTTCATTTAAAGCTTATATGAGTTGGGTTTAGGTTGTCTCAAGTTGAATATGATTGTTATCTTGGACATGAAGGTGAGATGGTCCATTCTATTAAGAGGAATTATGAATGGCATAGTTAGTTTTCTGGTGCTTATGAAACATCACGATCCATTTATTTGCTCATTTTGGTTCTTCATCCCTGAAAAAGTTTCATGAGGTTTGTAAAAAACACCATTGGTTAAGGACAATATTGGTTTGACCAAAGCACTTGCAGGTAGAGCATACCTGGGTTTCCATTGGAAATCAGTTATGCTAGTGATGAATGTAAGGACTATTTTTTTTTTTCCTTTTTCTCCATTTTTTTTTCGTTCATTTTCGTGTTCGGGTCATGTGGGCCCAGGTCGGTTCAAGTGCTCGAGATTTGTTTCCAACACTATTCATATATTTTGTGTCATGTCTAGCATTGTATATTTATTATGTGACATATATGTCTATGTGGAGATTGATATTTTGAATTCATGGCATAATTGTAATATTAGAGGAAGTAGTGAGGACCACTTTTGACTAGTTGGTAAGAGATTGTATACTGGTGGTTGTGTGAGAGATATATGTGTGTGGATGTATAGGCGATGGGTATATGTGTTGCCAAACACCTCCTTTTTCTCTCTCTCTCTCTCTCTCTTCTCTACCATTTTTCTTTTTAGCCTCAAGCTTTCAAGCTTCCATATCTCCCTTTTTTCCCTTGAGATTCTTCATCTGCCATAAAAGGGAAAAATGTTGGGGACCAAGGGCTTCAAAACCCTTACTTTTATTTTGAGATTGGAGCACTTTGGAGATTTCGTGTGAGCTAGGGTGGGATTTGGAGGAAGCCACAAGAGGATTTGTCATTCTCCCCATCATCCTCTTCAATTACACGACCTTAACTTTGCATTTGGAGCATTTCTGTTTTGGTGGATTTTGGGATTTCCATCCCAAAGTAAGGTAGGGTGTATTATAATTGTAAATTATGAACACTTTGGGGTTTTATGGGTTTAGTGTGTGTCATACATGCATATGTGCATGTGGGTTGAATTAAAATGTAGTTTTGATGATGTAATTGCATGATATTAATGTTTTAATGATGCTTCAAATTGAAATCCACATATGAAATGTTTAATTTATTCACTTCAATGAATATATGAGATAATTTTGATGATTATGACTATGTATATATGTTTTTCACCATTTAAAGTTGCTTTAAATTGTATATATGAATATATATGGTTATTATTTGAGTTACTTGTGAATTTTATTCTTGAAAGTACGATTATGTGAGGCTAATTGGATTATTGTACTCTATGTGTTAATATAACGTTTATAGGAGCTAAAATGACTATATATTGCCCTACTTGATGCCATTGCATTGAATAACATGTTATTGTAACATTTCGGACTCCAGGGCATAAGTTGTATCGATATCATTGCTTATATGCACTAGTGAGGTGCAATATGGATATATCATGGTATGTGCTACCTTGTGGAAATTGGTTGATGATTTTTGGGATATACTTGAAAATTTTGTTACTTTGAGAATGTGAGGGCTCGGCACTTA